CCGTTGAAATGTTTGGATGCACCTCAGCAAGCTTCACTAGCATCTGACGCAGCAACGCCGCTGGAAAGCCAGCCACGCGGTCTTACGCTCAGAGCGAAAACCGGAAGCGCAATGATTTTCAATAAATTGAGTTTACAATTTGCTCACGGCTCATGCTTAGAGCCGTTGAGGCACTTTGGGTGGACCGGTGACACAGCCAGGTCAAAAGGGTTGGGATCTCAGCTGTGACTCCGCCCACCCCCGCCCCCCCATCACCAAGATCCATCACAAGGATGTCGTAATAGAGTCCTGAGAAGCACTTCAACTGGTGTTGCGATATGTTTTGCGCACATGCTCCATCCGTCATTGAACATATGTCACAGCGACACATATTGCACGGGTCACCAAGCAAGCTCCATCTTTTTGGACGGCTGAAATCTGGAAAGAAAGCGTCCAAGAATAGACAAAGGCTTTGACCAAGAAGTTGATTGCTTTTGGGTGACTGAGCTATATCATGTGCAGGTGGGGTGGCAACGCAAGTTGCACGCATTCCAGGCGTGCCAAGTCAACTGCGGCTCGCTCAGTTCAGTTTTTCTCCATTGGGTTCCAGGCTCTCGCCAGTTCAGTTCCAAAAGATCCGCGCATCTGACAGAACACGTTAAAAAATGACATTGTCTTGAAGATGCTTGTTCCCGAGGCCAAGCGAAGCAAGGGTAGAGACCAAAGAGGCCAATTGACAGACCTGTCCCAGTTTAACACAGTTCCGTTTTATAGCTGGAATTGCGTGGCAGGATGCCGCTCACTACGCCGCTAAATACTCAGTGGTTTGTTTTGCGATATACCAACATGTAGTTTCTTGCACACGCACGTTTGGAAGAGATTTACAGGTTGCTACCGATGCCTCTGTCTTGTGGGCGTTGGAAATTTGCTGGTTGCATGCGATGATGTTTGTAACTATGGGTGTCCAAAGGTGAGATTGCATGACCGAAAATGGAAATGCCAGACTGTTGAAGCCAAAGACTTAAACATTCTATGATGGACCTGGTTTTCCCCGCGCAGGTCAAGCTAGATGACGAACATGCTGGGCAATTCCAGCATGAAGCCTATAGCTGCTAAAGCAAGCCTACATGTTAAACCAAGCCTGTGTTGCATTGATTGCACCGCGAACAGTTTTGGGCACCCTTTGCGTTTCAGACATGCAAGATATGCAGCGGAAGTAAGGAAACGAGTGCGCTTTACATGGCCCGAGATGCGCATACATTGCAACGATGGACATACATATGTATTTATATTTATACACATACACTTTACATACATAGCGCAAAATAGCTTGAAGTTCCTGGGCCTCGAGATTCTCTCTAGATGCGCTAAGCATTGTTTGGATTGACGGCATGAAAGTTCTGGCCGCCAAGGCCTCATGAACCAGACATTGCAGACATCGCCGAGGCAGGACCTCAAACCTTTTTGAACACGTCAGAGGTTGGACAACACCCAGCGCCTCAAAAACAATTGTCAGGATTCCAGCCAATGTGCACCTTACCGTTTCGCCTGAGTGGAAGTTATAAGAATGTTCAGTTCAAAATGTTGGTGCGTTGATGCAGCTTGGTGAACAGGTTCAGCGTCTATCTGAAGCTTTGCTTGGAATCTCGGGCGTCATGACTTGCCACAACCAGGAGTCTGGACACACGGTCGAGATCATTGCAAGGCCCGTGTGAACCTAGATGTATTCCAACAAGCAAGCGAGCGAACGTGTAATCATGTAGCGGCATTTCATGCTACTGGAAATGCTGGAACTTGCCGACAAGCCCCCAACGACGAGCGATGCTTTACGATGCCGTCATATTACCATCAAACTGCCGCTGGCTTTCAATTGCCTAGGGCCAGGGCCAGGAAGGAAATATATTCTGGGCCTTCTCATCCCACGATTTTGATCTTGTAAGGCGTCTTTTTGGCCAAGTGGCTGGGTTTCAGGGCTGCCGTTGCTCAGGCCTGCACACGACAGCTCAGCGGGTCCCCGATGCGAGGTGGGTGACCAAGCTGCTTGGTATAGGGATGTATAGGGTAGGGTCCTGAGGTTATTACAAGATCTTACAAGCATTTTTCAGTTCCGTTTGCCGCCCCTTTTTCGAAACAGTTTGAAATGCTACCAATTACTGTTTGCCATGCTTTTTTGGTGCCCTGTGTCGTCGGGTATTTGGGGACGCTAGAGTTTTAAGCTTTCGCGACTTTGTTCCCTTGTCAGTCCACACGTGTCAGGTGGAGCGGCCACAGGAGGCTCCAGTGGCGAGGGGTTGCACTCCGCACTCATGCTACGTCGGGAGCAGAAGATAGCTACCAGCTGTTCTCGCATGTTATGGCAGCTATTGGCAACGAAACCGGCCCTTTGCAGCTATGCTTGCGCAATCTTGCGACCAAACGTACCGTGAGTGCTTCTGGCGCGTCCTTCGCTTGACCCAGTCGGAGTTGGGCAAAGAGTCCCCAGAAGATGCGGCCCTCCAGGCACACCTTGAGATTGCATGCGAAGTCGCATTGTGTGACTATGAAGCATTTTCAACGAGGACTTGACAACCTGACCTGTTTTCATGTTCAAGCTTTTCTTGAACTTCTTGACCAGTGCAAGTGCAATTTTTTCAAGGCACAAGGCTTGAATTTGTATAAACAGAAGATTGAAGAGGTGGTTTCAAGCTGGAAAGCCCTGCAAAGCATAGGATGCAGCCTAGCTTGCGGCGCCAACAGGTCAGCAGTCCTGGAAGCTTCACCTTTGGAGGCCTGTGGACGCAGTGGATACATTGGACACCATGGTTGCGTCACATGCCCGCGCTCTTCCAGAGTTGGGACCTCTTTAACGGAAGTTGGCAGCCCGGAATTCGATTGATGATAACACCGCAGCAGAGCTTCGGGAAATTTCTTTGGGCACGATGTACTCCCAGCTTTGCTTTCGCTTTCTGATTTTTGTAGCGCTTTCAGAGGCATGGCAAGTCCGCCCGAGGCTCGTGAGAATCCGAAGCCGATTACGATAAAGATTTGGTTGGAGAGGTATTTCAGACCTCTAGCAAGTCGGAAGGGGGGTCATTTCTCAAGGCGAGAAAATTGTCATTTTACAACGCGGTATTTAGGTCATTTTTCAACGCGCCAGGGCTGTTACTTCGTGTCTAAATTTCGTGCGTGCAGCCGTTGCGTTCATTTTGCACCGCGCCATGGTTCTAACTTTCTGTTCCCCCGGTTTCTGGGTTTCTTGGTTTCTGGGTCTCTTGGTTTCTGGGTTTCTGGGTCTCTTGGTTTCTTGGTTTCTCAGTTTCTGGGTCTCTTCGTTTCTGTTTGTTTGATTTCTGGCTCTCTTGGTTTCTCAGTTTCTTGGTCTCTCGGTTTCTTGGCTTCTGCGTCTCTTGGTTTCTGGGTCTCTTGGTTTGTGGGTCTCTTGGTTTCTAGGTTTCTCGCTTTCTTGCTTTCGGAGTTTACTGTTTGGGTTTTAAATGTGACTCCGTAGGTTTCCGCAGTGTTTGTGTTGCTTCGTTTCCGGAGATTTTGGTTGGGGTTGTTAAGATCATTAGTTTCTACATTGTGTAGCTTTGCGGAATAAACCTTAAATACGCCAGAAATGAGTTGTAAAAAAACCCTACAGAAACTCTACACCAACCCAGAACCAATTCTGACAACCCTAAACAAATCCCAAAGCAATCCGAAACCAACGCTCAATCAGACATAGACCAACTCCAAATATCCCCAAACTAACCCTAAATGAATCCTAAACCAACCCTAAATCAGACTTGAACCAATCATAAATAAACACTATACTATACCAATCCTAAATAAGCCTTAAACCAACCCTAAGTAAATTCTAAACCAATTCAAAATAAACCCTAAATCACCACCAAATGAACCAGAAACTGTCCATCAATAGATTTTACACCAACCCTCAATAAACCCTAAAGCGACTTTAAATAAACCGCAAATAAACCTTCAACCAACCACAGAAAACTTTAAACAAACCCTAAATACACGTAACTAATGGAGGGTTAGTTTTTTTTTCCTTCCGTTTTGATTGTTTCTGGATTTCTGGTTCCCAGCTTCTCTGCTTCTCTGCTTTTCCCCGCTTCTTTGCTTCTCCGCTTTCCCCTGCTGCTTCTCTGCTTCTCCCTGCTTTTCTGCTTCTTTGCTTCTCTCCTTCTCCGCTTTTCCCTGCTTTTCTGCTTTTCCAGCTTCTTTGCTTCTCTGCTTTCTGCTTTTTTCTGCTTACCTGCTTCTCTGCTTTCCCCTGCTTTTCTTTTGTTTCTCATACCGTAAATAAACCCTAAGACTTTAAGAAACATCATATAATACATAGACACAACTACATAACCCCTAAATAAACCCTAAACAAAGCCAAAAACAAAGAAAAACACGAAAGCAACTCTAAGCAAACCCTAAGCATTACCTAAATAAATCTGAAACTAATCCTACATAAACCCTGAACTAGCCCTAAATAGATCCTAAACCAACCCCCAATATATGCTAAACCAAGCCTGAATGAACCCTTCACCAACCCTAAATAAATGTAAACCTGGCCTCAAGAAATCCCAAACCAACGCTAAAATAAACGTTAAACAAACCCTGAGTAGGTCTTACGCCAACTCTACACAGAACCTAAACCAACCCCAAATATATAGATGGCAAACCAAGCCTAAATAAACTTTACACCAACCCTAAATACATCTTAAACCAGGCCTGAATAGTTCCCAAACCTACCCTAAACAAACCTTAAACGAACCCTAAATAGGTCCTAAACCAACTCTAGATAGATCCGGAACCAATCCTAAATAAACTTCACACCAATCCTGACGAAACTCTTAACCAACCGTAATTGAAACTGTAAACCAACCCGAAACAGTTTCAAAAAACTTCACATGAACTTTCAGCATTATTCCATATATACATTCAAAAAAAAATAGCATATAAATGCAAAAAAATCGTGCGTGCGCCGAGATGCGTGTAAGATTCCCAAAAGAGCCAGCATCCCTTCTTTTCGGCTACGTTGCGCAGAATCTTGGGGGCGGTGGGAATTCCACGCTTGATTTTACAGAGTTGTGTTGAAAAATGACTGCTTTTTGGTGTTGGAAAATGACCGAATCTTGGTGTTGGAAAATGACCGTTTCTTGGTGTTGGAAAAAGACCGGCATCCCTAGCGGGTCCATGTAACCGAAAGGGGTCGAAAAACGACAGGATACGACAAGCAATCTTTCCAAATCGCTATGTTCAGGCCGGTGATGCGGCACAGGCGCGGCACTTGCTGGTCAGGGCGAAGCCCTTGCCAACACCTTCTTCGCTTGTTTTTAGTATGTCGTGGCTCCCGCCAGCCGGGGTCCAACCCAGCTTAAATTGCACGCAAGGATGAGCTGAAGGAGGGCGCTCAGAAAACGGTGTGGCCCGCAGCCCTGTATAAGAAACCGTTCTCATCAAGCTGAAATGTGAGTTGGAAGCGCTTTTGGGGCGAAAAGAATCAAGTCCTGCCTTGGAAGCCTTGGAAGCCTTGGAAGCCCGGCAAGCCTGCCCTCTTTGGTTCTTGAAGTCGTTCACGCCGGGCGCATCAAGGTGGAAGCGCAGGGCCCAGAGGGGCAGAGCCCAGCTCAGAGCCAGAGCCAGGCAGGCTTGGTAGGATTTCGTTTGTCAGGCATGGATGACACAATTTTTGAAGTATGGCGGGCACGGATTTGGAGGCAACATCTCAAGCTTCGAGAGATTCTAGAGAGCGTCTCTAGCTTAGCTGTGGAAGTCCCGCACTGATCCTTTGTTGCGGTCAATAGTCAATGTAGATTTGCGATTTAGACTAATGGCCGGGAACTTAGTCTCACTGAGGTCTGGCAAAAGATGCCAGAATGATGAGCGATCTAGGCTGGAATTGGTTGGGTGATGTGGATGCTAGTTGTGGCGGCAGCATAATTTGCATTTGCCTGAGCTTATGTCATGCCCGTACCAAGCATCCGTGCAGCGAATGTTCCTGTCATGTCTTTGCAAAACGCTTGTCATCCTTCTTGCGGTTTCCGTTTCCGATTCTTTTCCCTTTCTCGTCCTCATCCTTCCGGGCGCCCTTGTGGGGGTAGCCCGCTTCGCCAGGGCTGACTGAAGACGGCTCTGAGGCTCAAGCTGCGTCTGGCATTCTGTTTGTTCATGTGTCTCTGTGTGTGTGTGTGCAGGCTTGCGTGATTTGATTTCATGTTTTTTTTGCGTGTCCTTCTCAGGGGTAGATACGAAAGGATGCACATGGTTCCTCTTGTTTTGCTTGCGCTTGGAATAGACACTGGAATCAAAGCGCATATGCACATCGCAAGTTTTGCATAGTTTTGCAACACCAAGATCGTTGCAAAGACGGTGCCAATGCTAGTGGATAGCCCCGCATTCAGCACGTCGGCGATTGCAAAGGGTTATATGTGGCTCTCATGATGACTTCTTGTGAAAAGTTCTTGGTAGGCCTAGGGATAAGATGTTTTGGCAAATGGCTCGCTGAAAAGCAGGGCGACATGACATGAACGATAAAACCAAAAGCGTTAAAGAGTCTAGAAATGCCGCCGTAGTTGTGATACATGCTGCTGCAGCCTAAGCACTGAAGAGTTTTGGCAGGACGAGGCCAAAAAAGCCAAGGCCTGGCCACTTGCTACAGCGGGTAGGGAGTTTCAGGCTGGTAGAAGGGCGCATTCAGCATGCGAAAGTACAGTTCTCGCAGCAAGTCTTGCATCCAAAGGACCGGTCAGCTCTACACCCGTCGTCTATGCTGGGAAAGCAGGCAAACAGCTGCGCAATGCTTTCGAAACTTTCAAGAAGACAAGTGAAGCTTTTTGAGCTGCTTTGGCTTTGAGTCACCTGCCTGTTCAACCCTGAACAACGCTGATTTCAAACGCGCTTGCAAGTGCTTTGAACTTTCTGGACCCAATATTCTCGGATTGCCCGCTGTCGCTTATGGTTGATTTTGCTTGTTTTGTTGTAGTGCCTGCCATACAGCTCATAGTGAAACCTTGCGTTTCAACTCGCTCCATCCAACCCACTCCACCCAAATCATTCCACCTCACCCGTCCCTTTCTTTCATCAGCCCTTGGGATTCAAATTTTCCAATGCCGAGGCGCCAAAGCGGAGCAATCCTTTGTCCCGAGGCAGAGGCCGCGAAGACATGCAGTGGCCGTGCCTGAAACATGCCAAAGTCATGCAACAGCTGCGCGCTTCGTACCTGGGAGCGGGGCTTTGTTTGTTTCTTTGCAGGTTTCTTGCAACCCCAAGACAAGATCATCAACAAGAGCATTGCTTTGAACCGGATGAAAATCCTTAGCAATTCTTCAAAGTGGCACTTTTTTCGCGCTTGATCTTGACAGGGTCGTGTGTAGATGGCGCGTTCCCTTCTTGGGAAAGCGACCTGCATTTTGCAATCTGGTTCTTATGTAGATTTGATTTTGTTTCTGGCGCTAATTTTGGCCCCGCAATTCAACTTTGTTACTACGGGCGCTGCGGGAGTCTTTCGGGTTGCAGTTGACCTAAACAGTCTCTTGTAGACCTGGACCTTGCGGCCACCAACAAAGGTCATCATATCTCACCTGCCGAGAGCGCCTGTTTTCCCGCAAATGATGGATCTGCGTTGACATTTAGTAATCGTGCTTAGGGCACAAAAATACAGCTCCGTAGAAACAAAATCAGAGAACTGTGCATGGAAACCCTCGGCCTCAAAACCAGCGCAAGCATGAAATGCGCACGTTGCCACAATATATAATGCAAACGTTTTGTCCAACACAACATCTGGATGCTTTCCCATTGTGCAATTTGCCCGGTGCGGCAGCGATTGCAGGTAGGACCCTCAACCCATGGCATGAGGATGGAATTATCTGAAGCCCGAAATCAACAAAAGGACAAATCCCGATTTGCATATGTGTTGTGTATTTTTGCGTGTGTGTGTGTGTGTGTGGGGGTGTTTCTTTTGCGCGCAATGTCCGGCTTTGTTTTTCCATTTTTTGTTGAATATGGTGGCGCAAGCAAAGTATGCAGATGTAGCCCAATCCATTTCCAAAAAATTTGAGGGTGGACAGGCTTCATCAATCTGACGGTCAAAGTCTTCCATCACATCCTCTCTTGTGGAAGGAACAGCTGGCATGTAGATTTGGCGCGCGTAACAGTAGCATTATTTGATCAACATCATCACACATTGCAGAAATTAAAGCAGTAGTCAACTTGCCCTCTGAATGAAATGATGCTGTTTTCAGCCTATAGTGGTTGGTCCTTATATGTCCACATTGGGTCATACTGGTATTGGCTGGCAAATGCTAGTTCATGCATTCAAGCCAAAGTCGGGCTTGAACATCCCAAAACTTGACCTTTTTGGCCGATTTGCCCAATTTGAACCATTTTATGGAAAACGTAACGTTTTTCAGGCAAATTACGCCAAAGTTCAAATGGCAAGAATATTCTGGTCGCTTCGCGACGACAACCGCCCGCACCGGAGTATTAGCCCCAATAAAACCACGTTGGGCCTGTGTAGGCCGCATGTTGGGGGTATGTTGGGCCCGTGTCGGCTCTGTGTTGGGCTGTGTTGTGCACATGTTCAGCCATGATGGGCCGTTGTTGGGCCTATGTTGAGACATGTTGGGCGGTTTTGGGCCACCTATGTTGAGGCATGTTGGGCCAATTTGGAGCCTATGTCGGGTCATGTTAGGCCTATGTTGGCTCATGTTGCGCCTATGTTGGGCCCTTGCAACTTAGCCGATTTTAGGTCCCTTGAAAAAACGTGGAAAATCACAGGATTCTTGAGCAAAAATGAACCTCCCCAAGCTAAAGCTTAATAGCTATTGCAAGTGCTTATGGATCACGCGTGCCTAGAAAAGAACGCCTCGCCACCTTCGGTGCGGGCGGATTGTGAACTTTGGAGGCTTGAGGCAGAGTGAAATTGCAAGCCCTGATTCAAATCCATTGCGGCGATGGTCCAAGGGCACGCAAGGCCAACATCGCCAGAGCTCGGACTTGACCATTGCGTATCTGCGCGCGCTAGTGGGCCTCTCTTGGGGTTTCAGCCTATATTCTTCTTAGGTCGGATGCACTTTTGGCCAACCGGATTTGATGACTTCTTGAACTTGGGCCGCGTGTTTGAAACAGGCAAAACGACGTGGGAAGAAGGAAAATCACCAACCGGGACGGTTCCAAATCACTTTTGTAAGATAAAGGAGCCCGAAGGGCCTTTTCTTATGTTTTCTCAGGTCCCGTTTTTAGCGCTGAGGCCTTCCAGGGCAGCGATTGTACACCCACTGCTGCTTGTTAGTTGCCCTGACAGTTTCCTACATGTCACCCGAGACAAGGGCGCTCAACAAAATATTGAGAAGGCGTCGCTGCAAGTCGCCGCTTATGATTGCCTTTCAACAGACCATGCCTGGACACTCGCTTAAAGATTATCTTCTCTGCCTCGAGCTAATGGGCATTGCCTGCCACCATCAATGTGCATGTTTGCCACGCATTTGCGTATTGATTACATGCCTTCCAGGTTCCGGAATCATTCAGGCAGTGGCAGTGAAACGTTGAAAGCTACTTCGCTGTTTACAAGTCTGTGCGCAGTTCAACCTGTATTATTTAGCTTTTTCCGCAGGCTGGAGACAGCTTTGTCGGACCTGGAGCTGGCATTTCAAGCCTGTCGAACCTTTCCGGCACAGGCTGCGGACTTTGCTCTCACCATAAAGCAATACAGATCACAGTGTGGATAGCCAGTGAGAGCAAACAAAGCGGCAGGGGGCCATATGTACTGACGCCGGGTGTGGCATGGCTGCGTCAATTTTTTCGCCGAGGGTCGAAGCCGCAGATCTCCGATTTAAACAAAGGTCTTACTCAGGCGCAGCAGACTGGGCAGGGATATCGCCCAGCGTGAAGTTTGGCAGTGCTGCTGCAGGTCTTTAAATGTTCTTCTCGCTTGTTCTCCATGTTGCTTGCCGTTTTCCTTGGCTTTATCCTTCTAGGTTTTTACCGGGGCGCATGGTCAGCTGTGACCTTGCCATTATTTACTGCCAAGGGTCAGGCTGATACTGAGTTTCCAAAATCGATTGCTCGTTTCCTGACAATGCGTAGGTCCCGTCGCTGTCAAAGTTGAAAGCAGCCCGCCCAAAGCCTGAAACTCACAGCAAGAGGACACATTGGCCCGTCAGCTGCCAGCACAGTCCTAGCTAAGACGAAAGTTTCTTTACTACATCTTAGAGAATCTAGGCAATCATACGTTTCACTTTGCAGTGATTGTTCCAAAGCTGCGCATATCTTGTGACTGTGCCCGCCGAAGGTCGTCGCATCAGCTATTTGGAGGTCCAATCGATTGGGGCCAGAAAGAAGACTTTCGCTAGCGAGATAGCTGCAGGCTTGAAGCCACCTGCATTGCGCTGTTCAGACATGCAGGGGTTGAGGTTAAGATCCAGTACCAACAACTATCAGCAGCATACCGTGGGTAGTGTGAAAGCGGGCAAGCCAGATTTTGCGACTTCGGTATTAACATGGTTAATTGGTCCTCACCCTGTATGTTGCGTGGAAAACTGCTTTGGGTGGAGCGCACCAGCCGCCGCACTGGCAAAAGTTTATTGATCGCACGAGCGCACTATTGGTGTAAGTTAAGTATGCATGCAGGTCACTTTCATCGGCCAGACGCAATTTTTTTCTCGTAGACTAATATGGATACAAGGTGAAATGAAACACCCGCTGGGCGCGACTGAAATCTTGCCAGGCGGGCTTGCAAGGTCCAGCAAGAACCGCTAATGTTTCCAAGAAGGCTACCTGTTTCCCAAACATCCTGCATTTTTCAAGCAGAAACTGTATGTTTCAAAAAAATAGCAGCAGTACCACATGTGGGAAACGAATATGCGTTTAATTTATCTGAAACTTTGCTTACTGACAAGCAAGTTTTTTGTAATGAAAGGCAAGGTTTTGAAGGTTGAATATAGATTAAACTTCCGAAAAGATGCCGCCCGTTTTACATGAAAAGCGGTTGTTTTAACATGCTGTTTGAAACGGCCATTTCTGTCAAGGAAAGCTGAACATGAAAGCTACTGGCTTGGAAAGCAATTTCCAATCTTTGGAGCAAGATAATGGGCCATATTAGCCGGAAGACCAGATTTGCCGAATCGGGTCTTTTTTTTGGGGCGGACGTATTTCGTTTTTGAGAGTATATGTGGGCTCTATTTGGTTTTATTGTGTTTTATTTCTGTCCTAGTTTAGAAGAGGGGCCTCCTTAGATTCAGGATGGATGAATAAAATTCACCGCTCGTATTTGGGTAGATGAACCTTTGGCATTGGCCCCGTCGATTTGCGGATCCGGGTGCAGGACACTTTCACGACAATATTTGCTAAAGTTACTTTTCCCGGATTTTACATAGAAATTGGTGCCGTTCATATACGACAAGAAAATGATACACTGGCAAGAGACCCCAAACAGCGCAGTGGGTAGGAAGGCAATGTACCAGATACGAGCAACAGTAGCTATGGAACAGTAACAGATGATAACAGAACAGGGTAGACATTATCACAACTACAGCAGGATCTTCCGTGTAGGTCTATATAGAGGAGCTTTCAAGGTCTCCAAGAAGAATTTCTTATGAGCATCCCAGAAGAGCTTTCGTAAAAGCAGAGGACCTTCAAGATCTTATATACTGACTTACTGCAAGGACCTCCTGAGGAGGATTTCAACGGGATCTCCACAAAATCTTCTCACAAGGACCTGCAGGCACAGGATCATGCAAAGGCCTCGGACGGCATTTCATTAAGACCTTCAGAAGATCTGCGCAGAGGAGCAAGATCTTCATGCCAGGACCCCGAAGAAAATGTCACAAGATCGACGTCAAAGGACCTGCTGCTGCTGGGCATCTAAAGGATTTCACCAGCACCTCGTCAACATCTTCGCACAAGGGCCTGTACAACATGAAGCAAGGCAGCATGTCGCCAGGATCTCCACAAGATCTTCCCGGAAGGGCCCGTACAAGATCATGGAAGGACCCCCTGGAGAGGATGGCACCAAAGACCTGTACAAGATCACGCAATGAACTTTTAGAGCGGGCTTCACCAGCATGTCACACGGATATGTCGCAAGAACCATTTTATCCGAGAATTCCCAGTTAAAATGCCGCGCCCCAGAAAAACCCCGAGACTCTGACCCAAACTTTGCGCGAGCCTGCGCAGTCCAAATGCACATGGACATGTCACAAGAATCGTTTTTTGCGAGAATTTTCAGGTAAAGTGCCGCGGACCACACGGATCCCTTGGCGCGAGCCTGCGCAGTCGACATACCAGTTTAAATGCCAAGATTTGACAAGAGCCACTTTATGCTGAAATTTACAGGAAAAATGCCGCATCCCAGAGAGAGCACCCTGATCAAGCACCGGCCTTTACAGCTACCGTAAGAACCCCTGAGTGTGGGCACACGGTGTGGGAAAAAATACAAGAACAACATCAATAAAAAAAATATTAGCAACAGCAAGAACAAGAACAAAAACCAAAAAATATAATAAATCCCAGAAAGAGACCCCAGACAGTGTGGGGGAGTGGGGGGATAATGTATGATAATGTTGACGATGATGATGATGATGATGATGACGATGATGATGACGATGATAATGTTGCGGACGATGATATTGAGGATGATGAGGTTGAGGACTGCAGGAGGATGATGAGGTGCAGAACGATGAGGTTGTGGATGGTGATGTTGAGGACGATGATAATGAAAAGGATGAGGATGAGGATGTTAATGCAGAAGATGAAGTGGAGGATGATAAAGTGGAGGATGATAATGCTGAGAAGGAGGTGGATGATGATGTTGAGGATGATAATTTTGAAGACGATGATGAAGAAGATGATAATGTTGATGTTGCGGAAGATGAGGTGGTGGAGGTTGATGATATTGAGGATGATGAGAATCAGGAGGAGGAAGATGATGATGTTGAGAAGGATGATGATGATGATGATGTTGAGGATGAGATCTTTGAGGATGAGATCTTTGAGGAGGGCGATGAAAGGATGATCATATTGATGTTGCGGAAGATGAGGTATGCCGAGGATGATGAAATTAGGGGGGGAAGAACATGATATTGAGCGTGAAATTGCAAGGCGGAGGATAAACACTTTTTTTAATGGTTGGGGAGGACCGGTTTGAAGATTGGATTTTTTTTATACGAATCGATATTTTTGCTATAATGAATATAATTTAATATTAAAAAATTGAATTAAAGGACCGGATAACCCCACAAGTTAACTTCGTCCAATAATGAGCAACAAATGTTGTAGCGGGGATGGGGAAGGAAGGAAAGACAAAGGAGGTGGCTGAGGATCGAGAAGTAAAACAAGTTGTATGTGAAGAGTTGTGTGTGACAAAGTTGTATGTGAAAGATGGTGTGTTACAAAGAAAGATTGTGTGCGTGACAGTTGCGTGTGAAAAAGAGGTTGTGACCAAGTTGTGTGAAAGATGCGCCAAGAAAGCTCAACGTACTGTCGTGAAGCCCTTTTACACGAAGCAAATAAAGGACATCACTGTGCGATGCAATCGGCTCTACAGCAATCTCCACACGCAAGTGTCACACGCGAATGTCACAAGCATTGCCAAGTTCCCAATGTCGCAATAGAAATGAAACGTCGTACGTTGCATTAACCCATGCTTTCTAAAGGGTCTAAAAAGCATTGTTACAATTTTATGTCCAAACAGAAAAGACACTGCACGGCCGAAGCTACTGCGCACTCCTTGCTGGCGAAGATTTTTTTTACGGCATTAAATGTTTCTTCACACATACTCAAGAATATGTACAAGAAAAAACTTCTCAAGCAGAAACATATCTTGCCCTCAAGGAATCTCAGTGATGGTCATGCGTGAGCGTCGTTTTCATCGCGTGTGACATCCAGCAGGTACCTGGCAGCAATGCGAGCGACATGCGAAGAAAGCGGTCTGCCAAGGCATGGACAAAACATCGAACAACTCTGACAGCAAAGCAGTCATCAAATCGCAGACTCACATAGAACACAAGTCTGGCAGCAAGGAAAAAAAGCATCTCGCTCGCACAGAACTAAGCGTAAAAATTAAGCGCCTGGCTTGCACGTTGCCCGTGGGCTCCAGCATCTTGGGCCAGCCTGACAGCAAGAAAAACCATCAAAAATCGACAGTTAGTGAAGCCTTGACAAACACACTGCGCAAAAACAGCAGTGCACAAAGCCATGCCTGTCCTACAGCCCCGGGCGCGACGACCGAGAAAGATGAGAATAGTAATGGCCGGAAACGTACAAAACATGCTAATATTGCTTCTAGAACGTAAACGTGCCAGCATCGCTTTTAGCACATGCCAAAGCAAAACATACCAAAACATGCAAGCATCGCTTCTAGACAAGGCCTCTTCCCATGTTGGGCCAAAGCTAAACATGCGAAAACATGCCATCATCGCTTCCAGAACGTTTTTATCAAACATGCACAAAGCCTCTTCCTACGTTCGGCTAATGCGAAACATGCTTTTAAACCGTTCTGCTTAAACATGCACAAGGCCCCTTCCTACGGTAGGCCAAAGCAAAACACGCCAGAACATGCCAGTATCGCTTCTAGACGGTTTTGCTTCAATATGCATAAGGCCCCTTCCCACGTTGGGCCAAAGCGAAATATGCGAAAACATACCATCATCGCTTCCAGAAGGTTTTTATCACACATACACAAAGCCTCTTCCTACGTTGGGCCAACGCGAAACATACGAAAATATACCAACATCGCTTCCAGAACGTAAGCGTACCAGCATCGCATCCAGAACCTGTAAATCAAACATGCACAAGGCCTCTTCCCATGTTGGGCCAAAGCAAAAAAAAACATGCCAGCATTGCTTCCAGAATGTAAACATGGCAGCATCGCTTCCAGCACATGCCGAAGCAAAACGCGCCAAAACATGCCAGCATCACTTCTAGACCGTTTTGCTCAAACATGCACAAGGCCTCTTCCCGAAGCGAAACATGCCACATCGCTTCTAGGCCGTTTTGCTCAAAGATGCATAAGGCCTCGTCCCACGTTGGGCAAAAGCGAAACATGACAAAACATGCCAGCATCGCTTCTAGACGGTTTTGCTCAAACATACACAAGGCCTCTTCCCACGTTGGGCCAAAGCGAAACATGCCAAAACATGCCAGCATTGCTTCTAGACCGTTTTGTCCAAACATGCACAAGGCCCCTTCCGACGTTCGGCCACAGCGAAACATGCGAAAACATGCCGGCATTGCGTCTTGAACATAAACATGCTAGCATCGTTTCCAGAACGTTTTCATCAAACATGCCAGCATGGCTTCTAGACCGTTTGGCTCAAACATGAACAAGGCCCCTTCCCACGTTAGGCCAAAGCAAAACACCCCAAAACATGCCAGCATGGCTTCTAGACGGTTTTTTGCTGAAACATGCACAAGGCCTCTTCCCATGTTGGGCGAAAGCAAAACATGCGAAAACATGCCATCATCGCTTCCAGAACTTTTTTATCAAACATGCACAAAGCCTTTTCCCACGTTGGGCCAACGCGAAACTTGCGAAAA